ATTCCTTTAAAAATCCACGCCTATGGAAGACTTGCAAAAATATTCCTTAAAAAAATCCACGCCTATGAAAGCCTTGAAAAAATATTCCTTTAAAAATCCACGCCTATGGAAGACTTGAAAAAATATTCCTTTAAAAATCCACGCCTATGGAAGACTTGAAAAAATATTCCTTTAAAAATCCACGCCTATGGAAGACTTGAAAAAATATTCCTTTAAAAATCCACGCCTATGGAAGATTTGAAAAAATATTCCTTTAAAAAATACACACCTATCGGAGCCTTGAAAAAATATTCCTTTAAAAATCCACGCCTATGGAAGACTTGAAAAAATATTCCTTTAAAAATCCACGCCTATGGAAGATTTGAAAAAATATTCCTTTAAAAAATACACACCTATCGGAGCCTTGAAAAAATATTCCTTTAAAAATCCACGCCTATGGAAGACTTGAAAAAATATTCCTTTAAAAATCCACGCCTATCAAAGACTTGAAAAAATATTCCTTTAAAAATCCACGCCTATCAAAGACTTGAAAAAATATTCCTTTAAAAAATACACACCTATCGGAGCCTTGAAAAAATATTCCTTTAAAAATCCACGCCTATGGAAGACTGGCAAAAATATTCCTTTAAAAAACCCACACTTATTAAAGACTTGAAAAAATATTCCTTTAAAAAACTCACGCCTATGAGAGCCTTGAAATAAATTAAAACCACCACAAAAATTCTTGCTGTTTCTAAATTTATTTACACATTTCCTTTTTTTATTTCAAAACATATCATTCCATTTTAGAAAGTAAATTTAATGCCCCAAGTACCATCGGCTGAACGATAAGGTTCTGCTCCAAAACGCACCGGCTTTTCTCCATCAACTGGGGGTTGAGGTTCATTCGAATCAGGAGCTTCGGGATTTTCAGGAACCGGCTGGGCCTAGAATGAAGAAAAAATTAATTTACGGATATGATCCTTTTTAATAGGGACTTCAAAAAATTGTATTCTTACCCGACCCATAGAGAGGGCTACCAAAGCAAAGAAGAAAAAGATTGCAAGGAATTTCATGTTGAGAGAAGATTAACTTGTGATTTGAATTTAACGTCTAAACTGCTTACCTTATATACTAAACTCCATGTTAACCAAGGCTCTGATGTCTATGGGAGCAGTATTGAGAATTATCTATTGTGGAAGCAGTTAACAATTGCACCTGACATTGATTAATTATAGTTTTGTAATTAGTTAAGTAAAAATTCCAAAGAAAAATGCGAACCTAAGTCATTTTTTCGAAAAAAAAAAATTAGCAAATATGGCTGAATCATACAAAGCTTTTCGATGGAAAATATTTTATGCCATTTTTAGGCCTTGAAAAAATCCACGCCTATTAAGGCCTTGAAAAAATCCACGCCTATTAAGGCCTTGAAAAAATCCACGTCTATTAAGGCCTTGAAAAAATCCACGCCTATTAAGGCCTTGAAAAAATCCACGGCTATTAAGGCCTTGAAAAAATCCACGCCTATTAAGGCCTTGAAAAAATCCTCGCCTATTAAGACCTTGAAAAAATCCACGCCTATTAAGGCCTTGAAAAAATCCACGCCTATTAAGGCCTTGAAAAAATCCACGTCTATTAAGGCCTTGAAAAAATCCACGCCTATTAAGGTCTTGAAAAAATCCACGCCTATTAAGGCCTTGAAAAAATCCACGTCTATTAAGGCCTTGAAAAAATCCACGTCTATTAAGGCCTTGAAAAAATCCACGTCTATTAAGGCCTTGAAAAAATCCACGCCTATTAAGGCCTTGAAAAAATCCACGCCTATTAAGGCCTTGAAAAGATCTACCTTTAAAAAATCCACGCCTATTAAGGCCTTGAAAAGATCTACCTTTAAAAAATCCACGCCTATTAAGGCCTTGAAAAGATCTACCTTTAAAAAATCCACGCCTATTAAGGCCTTGAAAAGATCTACCTTTAAAAAATCCACGCCTATTAAGGCCTTGAAAAAATCTACCTTTAAAAAATCCACGCCTATTAAAGCCTCGAAAAAATCTACCTTTAAAAAATCCACGCCTATTATGGCCTTGAAAAAATCTACCTTTAAAAAATCCACGCCTGTTAAGGCCTTCAAAAAATCAACCTTTAAAAAATCCACGCTTGAAAAATATTCCTTAAAAAATCCACGCCTATTCTAGCCTTGAAAAATATTCCTTAAAAAATCCAAGCCTACTCTAGCCTTGAAAAAATATTTCTTTAAAATATCCACCCCTATGGAAGCCTTGAAAAATATTCCTTAAAAAATCCACGCCTATCAAAGCCTTGAAAAAATAATCCTTTAAAAAATCGACGCCTGTCAAAGCCTTGAAAAAAAAATCCTATAAAAAATCCACGCGTATGGAAGCTTTGAAAAAATAATCCTTTAAAAAATCCACACCTATCAAAGCCTTGAAAAAATAATCCTATTGAAGCCTTGAAAATATTCCTTCCAGGTTGTGTTGGGACTTGTATATGCTCGGATTTCCGTAAAATGACAATCGAAAACGATTTACAAATATGTTGGAAATATGGCAGGCCCGCCTATAATGATCTTTTGGAATTATCCGGTTCTTTCAATTATAAAATTCTTCAAGGAAGTATTTTAATACCATGGAGACGAACCGACTTAGTTTAAGTTGTTAAGAAACTTATTTATTTAAGTTAATATTTTATATATATATTTTTAAATTTATGTATATATTTTTTACAAAGAATATTTAATAAAAATAAAAAAATCACTAAAAAATATTGTTTGTTTTTATTTACGGATTCATCAAATATGGTAAGTATACATGCGCCTACGCGTGCCACATATAGTTATGTGATGACGTCACACAATTTTCATTCATCTGGTTTTGTGCATTTTTTGGGCAAATTTCACAAAAATACCAGGCGCCCAGAATAAAATAGAAAGTAGCCCGCCAAAAAATAAAAAACTAGGAAATTACAAAAATTGTAGCATACTTTTAGGCGCTCGAATTTTTTTTGGCGGGTGGGGTATTGCCAGGCCAAATTTTTTGCATATTTTTGGTAGGGAGTTGCCAGATCAAAAAATTTTGAAATTTTTATTTTTTGGCGGGCGACTTGCTACTGAATTCTGGGCGCCTGGTATTTTTGTGAAATTTGCCCAAAAATACACAAATTTTTTGGGAATCTATTTTAAAATTCATTGGGCCCAGGATAGACAGACATGTGACGTTACAGTCTTGCAATTAAATACTAAGCAGCTAATATTACTAAGAGACTAATATTGAAAGCCCCCCACTAACAGATTTTTATAGGCATCCATAAATAAATAAAAAAACATTTTTTTTAGTATTTGTGTTTAAAATCTCTTTATTTATTTTATCTCAATAAACACAAAAACATAATGAAATAAAATGAGCTACATACTATACTTAATAGTATTTAAATTTAATACAATAGTACGGTACAGGAATGAATTATGAATGAAGCCAGGTTTAAAGTTAGTAGTTGATATTTTCTTTCCCAAACTGTTTAAACAAACCAGGCATCCAGAACGGGTAGTTAGAAACATAAACTCATTGGCAAACTGTGGGCTTTCAGTTCCGTAACATGTAAAAGGATCGAAATTCGGAGCAACATGTTGGGGCTCATATCAGGAAATAGATTTGAAAAAAAGAAACATAACTGCTTTGGTAGTCCTTGAAGGTAGAGGATTTCTATAAAAATCCCCAATGACTGCTCAACAAAGCTGTAAAGAAACATTCTTTAAAAAACTCTGACTGCTCTCATTTTCCTCTAATAGGCGCGAATCTTTTAAAGGCTTCCATAGGCGTGGATTTTTTTAAAGGAATATTTTTCAAGGCTAGAGTAGGCGTGGATTTTTTAAAGGAATATTTTTCAAGGCTAGAGTAGGAGTGGATTTTTTAAAGGAATATTTTTCAAGGCTAGAGTAGGCGTGGATTTTTTCAAGGCTCTAATAGGCGTGGATTTTTTAAAGGAATATTTTTTCAAGGCTCTAATATGCGTGGATTTTTAAAGGAATATTTTTCAAGGCTCTAATATGCGTGGATTTTTAAAGGAATATTTTTCAAGGCTCTAATAGGCGTGGGTTTTTTAAAGGAATATTTTTTCAAGGCTCTAATAGGTGGATTTTTTAAAGGAATATTTTTTCAAGGCTCTAATAGGCGTGGATTTTTTAAAGGAATATTTTTTCAAGGCTCTAATAGGCGTGGATTTTTTAAAGGAATATTTTTTCAAGGCTCTAATAGGCGTGGATTTTTTAAAGGAATATTTTTTCATGGCTCTAATAGGCGTGGATTTTTTAAAGGAATATTTTTTCAAGGCTCTAATAGGTGGATTTTTTAAAGGAATATTTTTTCAAGGCTTCCATGGGCGTGGATTTTTTAAAGGAATATTTTTTCAAGGCTCTAATAGGCGTGGATTTTTTAAAGGAATATTTTTTCAAGGCTTCCATAGGCGTGGATTTTTTAAAGGAATATTTGCTCAAGGCTCTAATAGGCGTGGATTTTTTAAAGGAATATTTGCTCAAGGCTCTAATAGGCGTGGATTTTTTAAAGGAATATTTGCTCAAGGCTCTAATAGGCGTGGATTTTTTAAAGGAATATTTGCTCAAGGCTCTAATAGGCGTGGATTTTTTAAAGGAATATTTGCTCAAGGCTCTAATAGGCGTGGATTTTTTAAAGGAATATTTGCTCAAGGCTCTAATAGGCGTGGATTTTTTAAAGGAATATTTGCTCAAGGCTCTAATAGGCGTGGATTTTTTAAAGGAATATTTGCTCAAGGCTCTAATAGGCGTGGATTTTTTAAAGGAATATTTGCTCAAGGCTCTAATAGGCGTGGATTTTTTAAAGGAATATTTGCTCAAGGCTCTAATAGGCGTGGATTTTTTAAAGGAATATTTGCTCAAGGCTCTAATAGGCGTGGAATTTTTGAAGAAAGGCTTCAAAAATATTATTTTATTAAGAATTTTAAAATATCATTCAATGAAAATTGATCTTCTAATCCACAAAAATACGCTGACGTCTTATCATCATGACCACATATTTCATCGAGTTCCACAACTCTAGCCAATCTCTCCAATAGATGCCATCAGCATATTCTCCTTTGTATTTGCCCTGGTGATAATATCCCGTGGGAACACTGAAAATACGAAACAAAAATAAACTTCAATTCCAATACATATATAAAATCATTAAAAAACAATTGCATTAAAACTTACGCTCGAGCACAGCTCTTATACCACCAACCACCCTTATGTACGGCAGCACAATTTTGTGTATGATTATCGTTATCCTGATCGTGGGTGCTGAATGCCGCACCCATCGAATACGACAAACTATCACCAGCATTACCGGTGTATTTACCCAACAGCTTTAATTTATATTTCTCCTCCGAGCTGCCGATGACAAAATGATCATAGCGTGCATAACGCATTGAGCCACTAAAATTATGCATATACACATATAGTTCCTGGGGTCCATCGTAATTGGTCAGAGCGTAAAGATTTTCCAAACCAATCCAATATTCACCATCCACGTAGCCAAAACCATTCACATAATCCTCCCAGGGGCGATTGAAATTTTCCGAACCATCGAGGCGTTGTAAAATATGTAACCAATCACCTCCCTTGGTGCGATAATCACAAAATGCTTGAAATGTGTGATTCCGATAACGGGCAATGGTTATATTATAATAGCCACTGGTTTCAGTGCAAGCTGTGGCCATGGCACAGTTGGAGGGTGCTGGATGGCTACGGCATTCCATTGGCAGTTCATCTACTCGAGCATCAAAAATTGGTTTACTTTGATTGCGATATTTTTCTCGTTCGGCATATTTTTGAGATGGTGATACGGGAGGGTGTCTATAAAAACAAAAATAGAAGAATATAAAAATATTATAATCCGATATATTTTCAAAATATACTATACTTCAAAATACTTACAATCCGCCATCCACTTTCTGTTTCAGCATATCAAGTGATTGTTTTAGACTTTCAACTTCCATTGACAATTTTGCATAATTATCTTCAGGCTGCAGATCTTCGGAATTCTAGAACAAAAAAGAAGAATTAAGGCGTTTAAAAATATTCCTTTAAAAAATCCACGCCTATCGGAGCCTTGACAAAATATTCCTTTAAAAAATCCACGCCTATGGAAGCCTTGAAAAATATTATTTTAAAAAATCCACGCCTATGGAAGCCTTGAAAAATATTATTTTAAAAAATCCACGCCTATGGAAGCCTTGAAAAATATTATTTTAAAAAATCCACGCCTATGGAAGCCTTGAAAAATATTATTTTAAAAAATCCACGCCTATGGAAGCCTTGAAAAATATTATTTTAAAAAATCCACGCCTATGGAAGCCTTGAAAAATATTATTTTAAAAAATCCACGCCTATGGAAGCCTTGAAAAATATTATTTTAAAAAATCCACGCCTATGGAAGCCTTGAAAAATATTATTTTAAAAAATCCACGCCTATGGAAGCCTTGAAAAATATTATTTTAAAAAATCCACGCCTATGGAAGCCTTAAAAAATATTATTTTAAAAAATCCACGCCTATGGAAGCCTTAAAAAATATTATTTTAAAAAATCCACGCCTATGGAAGCCTTGAAAAAATATTCTTTTGAAAAAGCCACGCCTATGGAAGCCTTGAAAAAATATTCTTTTGAAAAAGCCACGCCTATGGAAGCCTTGAAAAAATATTCTTTTGAAAAAGCCACGCCTATGGAAGCCTTGAAAAAATATTCCTTTAAAAATTCCACGCCTATGGAAGCCTTGAAAAAAATATTCCTTTAAAAAATCCACGCCTATGGAAGCCTTGGAAAAATATTCCTTTAAAAATTCCACGCCTATGGAAGCCTTGAAAAAATATTCCTTTAAAAAATCCACGCCTATGGAAGCCTGGAAAAAGTATTCCTTTAAAAATCCACGCCTATGGAAGGCCTGAAAAAATATTCCATTAAAAAATCCACGCCTATGGAAGCATTGAAAAATATTATTTTAAAAAATCCACGCCTATGGAAGCCCTGAAAAAATATTCCTTTAAAAAATCCACGCCTATGAAAGCCCTGAAAAAATATTCCTTTAAAAAATTCACGCCTATGGAAGCCTTGAAAAAATATTCCTTTAAAAAATCCACGCCTATCAAGGCCTTGAAAAAATATTCCTTTAAAAAATCCACGCCTATCAAGGCCTTGAAAAAATATTCCTTTAAAAAATCCACGCCTATCAAGGCCTTGAAAAAATATTCCTTTAAAAAATCCACGCCTATCAAGGCCTTGAAAAAATATTCCTTTAAAAAATCCACGCCTATCAAGGCCTTGAAAAAATATTCCTTTAAAAAATCCACGCCTATCAAGGCCTTGAAAAAATATTCCTTTAAAAAATCCACGCCTATCAAGGCCTTGAAAAAATATTCCTTTAAAAAATCCACGCCTATCAAGGCCTTGAAAAAATATTCCTTTAAAAAATCCACGCCTATCAAGGCCTTGAAAAAATATTCCTTTAAAAAATCCACGCCTATGGAAGCGTTGAAAAAATATTCCTTTAAAAAATCCAGACCTATCAAGGTTTTGAAAAAATATCCCTTTAAAAATCCACGCCTATGGAAGCCTGGAAAAAATATTCCTTTAAAAAATCCACGCCTGTGAAAGTATTGAAAGATCATTTTTATTTCGGATAGACTTACCCCAAAACAAATTAAGCAGCCGAACACCAAAACAATGTTGAAAATCTCCATTTCGTTTACTTGCCAATTCTCGAAACTGAACTGAACTTGAGATTCTCTTATTTTGGATATTTATGATCGAAATTCAAATTATATTTAGAATTCGCAATTTAGAACCTATGCTAAATTTTGAACTTGAACATTAATTTGAATATGTTTTGAATATATTCACAGTAATTTTTAATGGATGCAACAATTTTGGATTAGAATTTTGAATAAAAAACAAACAATCTATTTCGAAAAATCTAAAATCTATATGGGGGTTAAATACCATTCCAGAAGCTCACCTTTCGGTAGAAAATAATATTCCAAAATCTGTTTTCAATTCACCACAATAAATTTGTATAACTTTATTTGCGGCTGTTTTAGGTTTGCTGGTTGGTTGGTTTTACAATTTCATTTCAATTTTTTTCTCTTCTTTCTTTCTGAAAAGTAGTTGCATATAATATATGTAATAATTAATTAATTATACCTCTTAAAACCATAACTATTGAATAGTTAGTTGTTGTTGTTGTTATTATTGTTTATATAAATGACTAAGTTGGTTGGTTGCTAATATTCTTTTGAAAAATTCTATTATTTTTTTTTAAGTTTTAGTTTTTATATTTGTTTTTAATTCCAAAAAATAATAATAATATAGTTATTGCATTTTTTATACAAGTGTTGAAATTGTTGTTTTGTAATTCAAGAGATTAAAAATAAAAAAATATATTATTTTGTGTGTGTTTGGAACAAAGCGTACTTATATAGTATAGTTTTAGAATCGAGAGATAGGAAATTTTCTGTTTTGAGTTAAAATTGTTGTCGACCTATGTTGGCTATAGATTGGATGTAATGAATAGTATTTGACTAATCGAATTCTATCCCATTGAACAAAAATGATAAAAATTATATTAGAGAATAAAGCATAAAATCAATATGGTAAGAAATCTTATATTGAAATGAATTATATAGCAAATATTGTAATATATTTTTTAGAAACAAAAAATAAAAAAAAATCGAGCTTTAAAACGATGTTTACTAATGGCCTGTAATATGTTTTAAATTTTATATTATTTTTTTACAACAACCGGGATTTTGGAAATCCCAAATCAGAGCTGGACAAAATCAAAATACCTATATATCCATACGCCTAATATATACTATAGATTACAGCCGATTCGGTAAGATTTTTCCGAGTCAGAAGTAATCAGAGTCTAATAAAGCCTTGGAAAAATCTGCGACTGGATACACAAATGCCGTTACTCTACGCATTTTATAAGCTGGAAACAAAAGGCAAATAAAAGCTTTTAAAATCTCCGGCTATTAAAGCCTGTGAAAGTAGTCCCCGTTGAAAAAAATCCGTAAGGAATCCACACGGTGATTTAATTTGTATCCGTGCACTGAAATTGAAGGAAACGTTTTCCAAAACCCCAGATGTTTTTTTCTATTTCATTCCTCGAAATGTTTAGCATCTATCGAAGCCTTGAAAAATATTCCGTAAAAAAATCCACCCCTATCGAAGCCTTGGAAAAATATACCTTTAAAAAATCCACCGATCGATGAAAAATCCTTAAGAATGCAAGTTGATAATCATTCATTCCTGATGATTTTTTTCTATAGTAAGCGGGTTAAAACTCTCCTTGTCGGCTTACTGAATTTTATTTATGAAAAAAAAACTTCCACCACCAACAATTTTTTTTTCTAGGGAAAAATAACATCTTCTTCAACAGAGGTGGAATTTATTTTCTATAGGAAGAGCCTTCTTTACTTACTAAGTCTAAGAAGAAGTGCCGGATTAGACTGGTAAAAATAGGCGTGGATTTTTAAGGCCTAAAATTGGGATAGGAATTTTAAGGCCTGGATTTGTAAGGCCTAGAAATAGGAGTGAAATTTTCAGGTCTAACAATAGGCATGGATTTTTAAGGACTAGATAAAGGCGTGGATTTTTCAGGCCTAGAAATAGGCGTGGATTTTTATGGAATATAAATAGGTGTGGAACGTACACTGGGATTAGAAAAAGGCATTTATTTACATTTGAAATAACACATAATGAGACTTTTTACTTTGCACCCTTTTGAACATCTCAATATTCTCGGAATATATTTGATACAATGAAGGAGAGTGTTCCTATAGAAGATTTAATGTTTGTTTTTAAACTCGAAGATACTTCTGAAGAAGACTATGTTGTCTCTTCTATAATTTAAAGTTCTTCGTGTAGAAGATTTGAAGGTCTTGGCGAAGGATTTTTTCTTTCAGTAGAAAAGTCTTTTTCAATTACTGTCTTTATAAAATAGATTCCTTATTGAATGCACTGCTATTAAAACTTCATCCACCAAAGAAGTACCGGAGGACATTGGAGGGATCATTGTCCACTGGAACTTGAAAACAGTGGGTTATTCAAATTTTCGAAAGAAAACAATGAAAAAAGATAATGTTCAATAATTTCTAAACTATTTTGAAGAACGGTTTTGTAGAAAATTGAATTTTTAGTAAAAGATTTGAAGTATTGAATATTTTCTTCTTGCCCTTTTTGGAAAATAAAGTATTTTATGAGGAAGAAAGGGTAATTTCGAAGACTTCACTAAATTAAAAATTCCTGTTAGAGAAAACTATGCTGTCTCTAGGCATATTTGAATTACTTCTAGAAAATGTGGAGTTCATATTGATTGTAAAAATAATCTTTAATGAATCGAATTTTTTTAAAACTTTGGTAAAGAAAAAAACTTCCTAGCACCAAGAGCATCCATGGCTTTTAAATTAAATTTTTAGCCGGAAGATCAATATCCCCTAGAATTGTAAAATGCGGATTAATTTGAAAGTGTTAAAATTTTACTTAAAATTTTCTTTAAATTTACCCTTTCTGAAAATTATTATTATTCTATGAGGATTTTGTATAAAATTGAACGAACGATTTTCTTAATAACGATTTATAATTTTCCCTTTTCGAAAATCTAATTATTCCATGAAGATGTCTTCTAAAAGTGTTGAAATTTCTTTCTAAAAATAACGAAGAAGATTTGAAGTTTTTCATTAAAATGTGTTTTAGAAATTTTGGAGGTCATATTGATGTTTAAAAAATCCTTAAAGATTCCATCTCTAATAAAGCTTTGAAAAATCCTCAAAAAGAATAAAATTCCGTAGTTTTTTTACTCTGATAAGAAATTCTTGCATATTTACATATAAAACCTTGACTAAAAACTTCCTAAAGAGAATCCACGCCTTTTAGAACCATGACGAACCTATTAATTAAAATCAGAGTCTATTAAAAATATCTATGACGAATTCATCCTTCCTGAAATCGTTAAAATAATTTATTGAAAGAAAATCTTCATAATTCACAACTATTAAAAATTTAAATAAAATTTGCATGGCTTCTAATAAAAATAAGTCTTCTCGTAGAAGACAAAGGATTTCTGGATTCGTAGAAGACCAAAATGACGTCACAAGGAAGACAAAATGATTTCTCATAATAGTGGTGTTCTCATAAAAAAGAAAGATCCTATCATTGAAGACATTTTATCGAAGTTCAAAAGGTATTTTTATTGAAGACGAAAAGGTAATCTTATGGGGACCATGATATCTCGTCACAGAAAATCAAAAAGTCCTCTCATAGAAGACAAAAAGGTATTCCCATAAAAACATAGACCTTCTTGAAAAAATACTTTTACAAGTAACAAAACAATCAACGTTTACCTATATTTTCGAAATATAATACAATTTTTTTTTTAAAAATTACATATCCGGCTATTTATGGATTTTAATAATCTATTAAAACGCACTAAGAATAGAATACCATAAAGGCATGGTATTCCAAAAGGCACGAAGAATAGAATATCGTGTTATTTTCTTGTATTGAATATATGAAGATCGCATATGGAATACTTGATGGTATATTTTAAGGTCTTCTTAAAAATATGAAAAGGACATCACACCGAATTATAAGAAATTTTTAGTGAAAGAAGAAACTACACTATTAAACGGCTGGGGTATTTTTTCTATATGAAAGCTCTGCTAATCTGATGATGCATTTTCATAAATATTTAGAAAAAAAAAACCTTCCTTGTCAATAGGCCTACCTCATTCACGGAGATTTATTTTTCCATAGAGTTTTCTTCAGTCTATAAGGACATTTTTAATACCAATATGTTTATTAGCTACTGCGAATTTTTGTATAGCCTTCCTCATGTACTGGGAAACAAAATCTTCCAAATCCACGGAAGAAAGTACATAACTATAAAAAATATTCTATACATCTTTGTTCTATAAAAACTCAACCCTGTAGCTGATATTTGTATAAATAGAAAACAATTTCATTAATGGCTTTTGTTTTTTTTTTCTCTAGAAATAAATTTACCTCAGCCTATAGATTTTGTTTTTTTTAGAAAAAATACATCCACAGTCATTGAGGATTTTCTTTAAGGAAAACAATATTCCATAGCCCCTGACATTTTTTTTCTTTAAAAACAATATTTTCAGTTTAAAGGGAATAATATTTTTAGGCAATTGCGTATTGCATAATATAATGTATGTATTCTTCTTAGGACTGTTTACTTGGAAATGTCTGCCTCCGTGTCTGAGGACTTTTTATAGAAAAAATACTTCCAGGAACTTTTTTCGGAATCAGAAAATTTTCTCCAAACAAATTGCTTAGCCACTGACAATTTTTTTTATAAAACATTCACCTTAGCCACATTTTCCATTCAAAATGACTTTTTCTAATTAATACTTGATGGTATATTTTAAGGTCTTCTTAAGGATATGAAAAGGACATCACACCGAATTATAAGAAATTTTTAGTGAAAGAAGAAACTACACTATTAAACGGCTGGGGTATTTTTTCTATATGAAAGCTCTGCTAATCTGATGATGCATTTTCATAAATATTTAGAAAAAAAAACCTTCCACATAGTCAGGGGATTTTGTCAATAGGCCTACCTCATTCACGGAGATTTATTTTTCCATAGAGTTTTCTTCAGTCAATAAGGACATTTTTTATAGAAATATGTTTATTAGCTACTGCGAATTTTTGTATAGCCTTCCTCATGTACTGGGAAACAAAATCTTCCAAATCCACGGAAGAATTCTTTAACTCTAAAAAAGTACACAACTATAAAAAAATATTCTATACAGCTTTGTTCTATAAAAACTCAACCCTGTAGCTGAGGTATTTGTATAAATAGAAAACAATTTCATTAATGGCTTTTGTTTTTTTTTTCTAGAAATAAATTTACCTCAGCCTATAGATTTTGTTTTTTAGAAAAAATACAATAGTCATTGAGGATTTTCTTTAAGGAAAACAATATTCCATAGCCCCTGACATTTTTTTTCTTTAAAAACAATATTTTCAGTTTAAAGGGAATAATATTTTTAGGCAATTGCGTATTGCATAATATAATGTATGTATTCTTCTTAGGACTGTTTACCTGGAAATGTCTGCCTCCGTGTCTGAGGACTTTTTATAGAAAAAATACTTCCAGGAACATTTTGGAATCAGAAAATTTTCTCCAAACAAATTGCTTAGCCACTGACATTTTTTTTTATAAAACATTCACCTTAGCCACATTTTCCATTCAAAATGACCTTTTCTAATTATGTATTTAAAAATTAAATATTATGTTTCAAATGTTCTTCTGAAGAAGAGAATTTGGATTTTCTGGGAAATATAAAAATGTTTCCAATATTTGCTGGCTTCTAATATATAAATTAAGAATTTATATTCTTTTGTTGTATTCTCATTAACATAACAACAAATTTTAGTTTTCAAATTTCAATAAAATTTGTTTTTATTTTTGTGGTATATAATTTAAAATATTACTTTAAATTTGTACAAGAGGAAAATATGAAATTGAGACCATGTAAGTAAACATCAACGTTAAAGCATTCTTTAAGAACTAGTTGTTCTTGTTATTTTTTTGCTATACGAAAAACAATAACAAATAAACAATTACTTAAAGTAACAAATACAAAATAAACCTTTTACATTTTCTTTCTCACACAGTATACTTCAAGTTGTGTTTAATTCCCTCCATTTTGTTTCTTTCCTTTTTCAACATCTTGTGGCAATTGTTGGAATATTGATGAATTCATTTGTAATTTTGTTTGTTTTTTTTTTTCATTAAATAATAATAATTATTATTTTATTTATTTATTATTTTGTTTTATTTTTTATTAATTATTAAATCTATAAAATTTAATTCTGTTTCTTGTTTTGTTTTGTTTTATTGTATTGTATTTTTGTTGTTGTTGTTCTATAGTTGAGAATAATGTCCATGCAAAATTATTCCACATATCCTTAAGTATTTCCTGTTTGCAAAGTATACGGGGTGTGTATTCTCATCATTATCATCTGTTGTTTTTGTTGCGTTTCGCAATGATATTTTCATGTAGTAGAACAATGACTTGACCATATGGTTGGCTGACTGACTGACTCTGCGGCGGCAGGGCTTCCAAATGATTATGATGTATGTGTGTGTGTGTGTGGGTATGTATTTTGTGTATTTATAAAGAAAATATATTTTCTTTTTCTTATAGTTGTGGTGGTGGTGTTGGTAGTTATTGGCTGTGTTTTTGAGTCTTGGGCTTGGTTTTACAAAAAACGCAACATTCTTCGTTTGAGTTTTTTCATCCGCTTTTAAAATTCAAAATTAAACGATGATTGACCAGCTGGGCCACCACCGAATTGGAAGAAGTGCCGGAATACATGTGATGGATCAATGTCAGCTGGAAGAGACAAAAAGAAAATGGAGACAAAGGGTTATTAAAATAGAAATAAAAAATGGGGATTAATAATTAGAGGACTTATTATAGGGAACCAAAATATCTTCTTATCGACAACAATTATTCTTAGCGAATGGTATTTTCATTCATATAGAAGACCAACAGGTTTTCGAATAGAGAACCAAAAGGTCTCGCCATTGTTTTTATCGAAGACCAAAAGGTCATCATTGAGAGGACCAACAGGTCTTCTTATAAAGGAAGAAAAGTTTTCTCATAGAAGACCAAGTGTTCTTTACGAAGACCAAATTGTCATCATATAGGAATCCTACATGACTGCCAAGACGGCTCAAAAAGTATTTTTATGGAAGATCAAAAGGTTCCTTATACGAGACCATAAGGTTCTATTCATAGAGGAACGAAACGCCTTCTAATAGAATGCCAAAAGGTCTTCTCATAGAATTTCTAGAGATTTTTCATAAAAGAAGGGCCATAAGGAATTCTTGAAGACCAAAGGGTCTTCTCATAGAAGACTAAAGTTATTTCTAGGGGTTTTCTTATATAATACTAAGAAGACTCTTCTCATAGTGGACCAAAAGGTCTTTCTTAAAGAGGACAGAGGATTCTTTGATTCGTAGAAGACTCATGGGAGACAATAGGATTTATTTTAGCTGAGCTATTCTCATAAATAACCAAAATGCCGTCTTTTAATAAAAGACTGAAAGCTCCCATAATTGAAAACATTTTATGGAAGTCAAAGAGGTCTTCTTATTGAAGGCCATCTTATGGAGGACCAAAATGTCTCAAAAAGTCCTCTCGTAGGAGACCAAAATGTCTTCTCATAGAACCTCTAGAAGTCCTCTAATAAAAGTCGGTCAAAATGGTCGCCTCAAAAGATTTTCTCATAGAAGACCAAAAAGTGTTCTCATAGTAGGCCAAAGGCTATGTTAGACCAAAAGATCTTCTTATAGAAGACCAAAAGGTCTTCTTATGGAAGACCAAAAGTTCTTCTTATGGAAGACCAAAATGTCTTTTTATAGAAGCCCAAAAGGTTTTCTCATGGAAGACCAAAAGGTCTTCTCAAAGAGAGCTAAAGGTTTTCTCACAAAAGACAAAAAGTTATTCGCATAGAAGACAAAAAGTTCTTCTCAAAGAGGACCAAAAAATCTTTTCATATAAGACAAAAGGTTTTCTCACAAAAGACAAAAAGTTCTTCTCACAGAATAACAAAAGGGTCTTCTCATAGAAGACTAAAATGTCTTCAGATAGAAGACCAAAGAGGACCGAAAAGTATTCTCATAGAAGATCAAAACATCTTCTCAAAGAGGGCAAAAAATCTTCTCATAGAAGACCAAAAAGTCTTCTCATAGAAGACCAAAAATTCTTTTCATAGAAGACCTAAAAGTCTTTTAATAGAAGCCCAAAAGTTCTTCTCACAGAAGCCCAAAAGCTCTTATAGAAGCCCAAAAGTTCTTCTTATAGAAGACCAAAAGGTATTCTTATAGAATACCAAAAGGTCTTTTCATAGGAGACCAAAAGGTCTTCTTATAGAAGATAAAAAGGTCTTCTCATATAAGACCAAAAGCTCTTCTCATAGACGGCCAAAAAGGTCTTATCATAGAAGACCAAAAGGTCTTCTCATAGCCAAAGGGTTTCCCATAGAAGACCAAAAGGTCTTCTGAAAGAAGATCAAAAGGTCTTCTCCTAAAAGACCAAAAGGTATTCTCATAGAAGACCAAAAGGTTATCTATGAGAAAAATACCAATAGGTCTTCTCACAGAAGACTAAAAAGTATTCTCATAGAAGTATTTAAGGTCTTCTCATGAAACCCAAAAATGTATCTTTAAGGAGACCAAAATCTCTTGTCCTAGGAGACCAAAAAGACTTCAGGGAGAAATCCCAAAAGTTTTTCTTATAGAATATCGAATGGTCTCCATTGAAAAGTTCTACAGATCTTCTTAATCAATTACATCCTTCCTCTCACTCACCTTGATCATGTTCCTCCATATCTTGACCACTATCGTAACGCATCTTTTTCCTAGGATCCGATAGAATCGCATAGGCTTCACCAATTTCCTTAAATTTCAATTCTTGCTCTTTACGCTCTTCCGGTGAACTGTTCGCATGACGATCTGGATGATGGACCAAAGCTTTCTTACGGTATGCCTTCTTAATTTCATCTTCGCCGGCATTACGTGATACACCCAATATCTTATAGTAATCCTTACGTTTTGATTTTTTCAATGCAAATTTAGCATCACGTAAAAGTTTCTTAATTTCTGGTGTTTTCTGTAGCTGTACAGCAGCCTCATAATCATTGACACACTCTTCGAATTTTTCCAGATCATTGTAGCAGCGGGCACGCAACAGCAATGCCTTCAAATATTTATCATTGATCTCGAGGACGCGGGTGCAATCCGCTACCGCATCACGTAAATTATTCAATTTGGAATGGACTAAAGCACGATTATATAAAAGTTTCGAATTAATATCCTTGTTCAGTTCATCGATTTTTAAGGCTTCGGTGTAAACGGATTGAGCTTCACGATAACGTCCCGTTTTGAAGAGGACATTGCCGTTTTCTTTCATATCTTTAAGGGTTTTACTTTTGGTGCGCATTTCTTTGGCTTTTTTGTGATCCGGATCGAGTTGCAAGGCCAATTCGAAATGTTTGATACCCTTTTCCAGATTATCCGTATAGTAGAAGCAGAGACCGCGTACATAAATGGCATCAGCCGAGGTACTGTCCAGTTTCATGACACTAATGGCAATATCAACGGCTTCATCGCAGCGGCCCAACAATGCCAAACATTCACCTTTGAGCAAGCGGTATCTGCAGGAAAAAATAAACAATTTTAATAAAATTATCATCAGGAATTCAAATTCCCACTCACCTGTAACAGGCTGGTGCCAATTTAATGGCCGAATCCAAATAGAAAACTACATTGCGATAGGCTTTGGCGTCATAATTCGATTGTACGGTCTGTTCCAATTGCCGGAGCTGTTGTGTGGCCTGTTTTTCCGCATTCACCGAATTGCTCTGTGGATCCAGTTCTTCGATTTTCTTAATAGCCTGTTCAGCACCGATAATATCACCCTTTGCAACACAACATTTCGCAATACGCACATAGGCCTTTTCGAATGCCGGATCTAAACGTGCCGCTGTCCGTGCATCGTTCAGGGCATTCGTATAATTCGACAGCATCATGTAGCATGCCGAACGATTGGCATAATATGTTGGACAGTCGGGACATAGTGAAATGGCATCGGAATAGAATTTCAAAGCTGATTGATAGTTTTGTGCCTTGTAATCGTCGTTGCCAAGTTTTTTCTTTTCTTCAGCAATGCTAGAATTAAAAAAAAAGAAATCAAATTAAAAAATTAGTAAAAAATTAATTTGGTTAAAAAATATTGAGATATTCTATATAATATTTTTTAATATACACCTCTCTTAGCAACACGCATACATAAAGGGCAAGTCTGTGGAATCTGCATTACACGAAGGCTATATTCAAATTTTACGCTGACCGCCTTCTTATATATAGAGGGAGCCTTTAACAACGTTAAACTTGAATCCATATACCACTCACTTAAAGAAGTTGGCATTCCTGATACCCTTACATATTGGATAGATAAAATGCTTAACAGCATAATTATAAATTCAAGTGTGGATGATACAAAAATCAGGAAAACGGTAACTAGAGGGACACCTCAGGGAGCGGTGCTTTCGCCGTTACTGTGGCTATTGGTAATTAAAATTATACTGACGGAATTGGAAAGGTATCAAAGTTGTAGCCTATGCGGACGACGTGGTGATATTGATTTCCGGAAAATTTCCGTATACAATCTCGTAGCTTATGCAAAGAGCCTTATTGACGCTGTCGCGCTGGGCCAGGGCAAATGGCCTTGGGGTAAATCCAACGAAGACAGAACTGGTAATGTTCACTAGGAAGCGTAAGCTCGGCATTTTTTGCTCCACCAACACTGAATGGAGTGCAACTTCATCTATCTCCCGAGGCAAAGTCCCTCGGCACAATCCTGGACTGTCAACTACGATGGAAAAGGAACGTTGAGGAACGGGCGAAGAGAGGGATGATTGCACTCTATACAAGCAAGAGCTGCATTGGGAAAAGCTGGGGGCTAAAACCATCGACTATACACTGACTGTATAACACTGTGGTGAGGCCCATCTTGTCCTATGGTTCTCTTGTTTGGCGGAACTGTTTGCGCCTCAAGTCGACATCCAGTAAATTAGACAAGGTACAAAGAGCCGCCGCGATTTTAGTTACAGGAGCCAGAAGGAGTACGCCATAAGCAGCTCTGAACGAAATGCTGTACTTCAAGCCTCTGGGCCTCAGCATTAAATGTCAGGCCGTGCGCAGCGCCCTAAGGCTGCATGAACAAAAACTCTGGCGGAACTGTACCTTTGGGCATGGTAGTATTTTGAATGAACCAGGTATGGCATTGGACCAACGCGCTAAACTAAGCGATTATATAGCACCAATCCTGAGATTTGACGTAGATTTGATGTAGATGTCGTTATTCCTAGTAGAGACGACAGGAAACGAAGTAACCCTCCTCTGGATGGTCTGGCCTTCTATACAGACGGATCCAAGATGGAAGAAGGTACAGGGGCAGGCGTCTACTGTGAAAGGCTGGACCTTGAGTTAACCTAAAAGCTGGATTGCAACTGTAGTGTTTTCCAAGCTGAAATCTTCGCGATCTGGAAGGCAGCGGAATTGATAAAAAGTCTGGATGCAGAGGTCGTTGAACCGGTGACTATCTTTGTCAAGCGTTCAGTCGAGCAGTAAAGACATCAAATCTTGTTATATCAAATCCGAAGCCGTCCTCAAGTGTAGAGCTGGTCTGGAAGAACTTACTTATAGCTATCGGTTGTGTTGGTTACCAGGACATTGTGACACCTTGTGTAATGAAAGAGCGGACGAACTAGCTAGACGAGGATTTCAATCCATCGATCTAGAAACTGATGACTCAATCAAACCACCCATATATCTTTTTTATCGGAAATTTGGGGCATTCTTTGACGAAAGATCCTGTGAACTTTGGCACAACGAACCTAGGTACAACGTGTCAAGATCCATTTGGCCGACTCTGTCTACCAAAAGAACGCACTCACTGTTGAACCTGAGGAAAGCTGAAATTAGAGTGATGACAGGAATCATCACTGGTCACTGCAATATCAGGTCTTTTACTAGTAAATCGGATTTTGATGCAATTGATTACTGTAGACTCTGTGTTGACGAGGAGGAGACGGAGACAATCAAGCATTTCCTGTGTCATTGCCCTGCCCTGGCTTACAGCCGGCACAGACTAGTGGGTGCTCATTTTCTACCGAGTCTCAGCTTCTTCTCAACAACCGAACCTGCTCTAATCTACAGCATTATTAGAAACCTAAAGTGGTTAGGAACATACAACCTTGACATGTAACACATATTCTGTCTGACTCCCAGAGCCATCAACCTTCATTCCTCTTTCATTTATTTATGTAAGCTTCTCAACTCTCCTTTATTTCCCTAATGTTCTCTCCCCTACAGATCTGTCTTTGTCTCTTCTCTTCACAGTATCTCTTCTTGTGGATGATCACAACGTACCTAACCGGTCTCAGAGTGCTGCAGCCACATAAGTGACTGCACATCCCCAAACCTAACCTAACCTTCTAGGACTTTTAAAAATATATATTCCAATGAACTCTAAAAATAGATTTTGTTTTTAAATATATTTCGAAGTATTATCGAAAAGTTTTTAAAGGTCTACCAAATAGGCGCGTATTTTTTTAGAAATATTTTTTTAAAGGAATACAAAAATTCTTGTCATTTCCCTTACCAGTTGCATTCTGCAACTACCATCATAGATATTTGATTCGATTTCGTTTACAACTCAACTTGTAATTCGCCCTAAAATCTCCCAAAAATAACCGAAAATGAAAATCTAACTACAAGAAGACATCATCTAACCCCAAAAAAAATGAAACAGAAACTTTTTCCAACTGACACATAAAGCAAACGGAATAGAAACGAACCAGAAAAGTTAAAAGTAAAGCGCCACTGAACCATAACAATGACACCGACAAAAACGACGACGACACAGCGACCGCCAACCAACCAATACCGCACAGCACCCGCCGCCCAGCGTAAAGATGATGATATCCCGACCAAAAAAAGCGGGCAGCATCCAGCTCTCAACTACGAACCACCTGACTTAACTTTTGATGATGACGAATGAAAATGCTTATCAAAACTGACACAATGTAGTTATTTTCTATTTGTTGTTGTTGATGATGTTGTTTTTTAACAACAACAAAGTATTTCGGAAAAAAACAAGCAAAACACTAACAACATTTCAATTCCAGCAACATTTTCAACTCATCCACGTCCCTCCATGCATCCATCCATCCCTCCAGCACCCACAAAATAAATTTCACATGAATAGAGAGAGCGGAAGATTAGAAAAAAAAAACGGAAAACATATCACACAGACGAGGAGACAGACACAAAAACCACAACAAACGCACACACGTACCCACACACACACACTGATACCACACACAGACCAGCAGCTTACCAATCAGGCAAACTTTTCAAATCCATTCATTCAAAAGGATATAAAGAGAGATATATAACAGGCTGTGTATCCTTACAGCTTTATTGCATGTCATTTTAAATTCGTCCTGTTTTTTGTTTTTGTTGCTGTTGTTGAATGCAATGTTAGAATCTAATCTGTCTGCCTGCCTGCCAGCCCAGCCTGTGTGTCAGTAGTAACTGGGTGTAAAAACTCCACATCCCCCCGCCGATCATCATCATCCTCGCCATCATCAAACCACTTGTAATAGTTCTCCTCCATAGGTGTCTGTGCAACATTACATCCGCCTAAAGGGCCACATCTTTCTGATGTGCTGCTGATGAAAAGGATAACGATGCCGATTGCTTGCTTTCGTTCAAAATTGTTGTCATAAATAATTTATGAACACTTTAAAAAGGAAAGTTGCATCCGTACATCGAAATGGAAGTAACAACAAGTGGCATTGCTCAGCTGCTATTTAGTTGCAATTGAGAATTTTTATAGGCGGTATGGGGATGCAGATGTGTGTGTGTGTGCGTTTCTGTGCAAATGCATTTTTTCAATTGCCTTTTAAGAATTGACTTATTTAAAAGGATAAAAGCATTAAAATTGAAATCTAAATGGGCCATGAAATGTGAGAAAAAAACTTTTAAAACTCAAAAGTTCTGCACTTTATCTTTGGATTCGAAATATGGGTTGTGTGATGAATGCAAGGATGGGAAAATCAAAGATCTATTTTTCCAAACCTGGATATTTTCAAAATAGTTCTTCAAGGATTTTTCAAAAATATTTTTCAACGACCATAACAAGACCTGGATTTTTTTAAAAATATTTTTTCAAGGACCATTAGACCAAGGCGTGGATTTTTTAAAAATATTTTTTCAACATCCATTAGACCAAGGCGTGGATTTTTTAAAAATATTTTTTCAACGTCCATTAGACCAAGGCGTGGATTTTTTAAAAATATTTTTTCAAGGGCCAATAGTCCAAGGCGTGGGTTATTTAAAAATAGTTTTTCAAGGGCCATTAGACCAAGGCGTGGATTTTTTAAAAATAGTTTTTCAAGGGCCATTAGACCAAGGCGTGGATTTTTTAAAAATAGTTTTTCAAGGGCCATTAGACCAAGGCGTGGATTTTTTAAAAATAGTTTTTCAAGGGCCATTAGACCATTTTTTAAAAATAGTTTTTCAAGGGCCATTAGACCAAGGCGTGGATTTTTTAAAAATAGTTTTTCAAGGGCCATTAGACCAAGGCGTGGATTTTTTAAAAATAGTTTTTCAAGGGCCATTAGACCAAGGCGTGGATTTTTTAAAAATAGTTTTTCAAGGGCCATTAGACCAAGGCGTGGATTTTGGATTTTTTAAAAATATTTTTTCAACGACCATTAGACCAAGGCGTGGATTTTTTAAAAATATTTTTTCAACGACCATTAGACCAAGGCGTGGATTTTTTAAAAATATTTTTTCAACGACCATTAGACCAAGGCGTGGATTTTTTAAAAATATTTTTTCAACGACCATTAGACCAAGGCGTGGATTTTTTAAAAATATATTTTCAACGACCATTAGACCCACCTTCTTTTTAAGTATACCGATCGTCATATCTCGACTAGCTGAGTCGATCTAGACATGTGTGTCCGTCCGTCCGTCTGTCCATTATAATTTGTAAACACGATACAGGCCACAGTTATGGACCAATCTTCACGAAATTTTGCATGTAGGATGGGTTCTGGCCAATGAAGACCCCTATTGTTTTTGGAAAAGATCGGTTA